CATGGGGGGGGGGTTTAGTAGTTGTTTATTTCGCCTTTGGTTACAAGAGTACACACAAAATAAGTCAGTTTGACAATTCAAAACTGCATTTCAACATTGTTAATTTTGAAAGTGTCCCTTTTGCCATTCTACATCGATGCGATAGGAAAAGAAAACCACTTGCTCTACCGGTGTAACAAAAAAGGGGAAAATTTTTCAGAGTTGTAAAAATTTTTAACTGTAGTTGTGGAGTTGGAATTAAAAAAATCTGACCTCAACTCCAACTCTACTAAGATGAAGCTTACCTCCGAAGTTAGCTCCAACTCCCGGGTTGATGTTGCCCATCTCTGATTCAGTAGTATAGCTCTTAAGACAACAACTGGATAAGATGAATGACTGGTGTAGACTTGCACCAATTCCAATCTTAGGCCTGGAGGATTGGTACCAGTTAGACCTGGTACCAGTTAGGCTTGGGTTTCAAAAAATATACGAAATGCGAGACTTAGTTTTATATAGCTACGTGATATATAAAATCTTTGAGTGCAAATACAGCAGTCAGCAAAATAAAAACACTCAACCGTCTTTTAAGACCTGAAAGTGGCATAAAAGTTCAACGTTTAAACGATTGTTTAATTTAGCGGAGTTTCGAAATCAACAAAGACAAATTAGTAGTAGAAGACGATACCGCAAAATTAGACTGTAAAATGATGAGCTATCGGGGTTAACAACACCAGCTATAAGCCAAGAAATTTTTCATAGGCGACGGTGGAAGCGAAGCTGATCTATTAATTAAATAATTTTAAAACTACAACTAGTGGACTAAAATAAACATCGGCAACAGAAAAATAAGAACAAACTTCTAAGAGGGTGATCTTTTTAAAATAAAAAAGAAGCACGAAAAAACCTACTCTAAGCGCATGGTGCAGTGACGGTTCCATCTGAGGTTGTACGATGAAGCCTTTGCCTACTATATTCGACCAAGCCGAATGGTACCTAGCCTAACTGGTACCAATCCTAACTGGAGATTGGTGGGATTCCTACCAAGCCTAACTGATCGATCAGTCCGACTGGTACCAATCCTACCAATCTCCAGTCGGATAGGACTGGTACATGTCTGGACTGGTGTGTTTCAAAATTGAATCAACTTCAGAAAATATTGCATCATTTTGAGTTAAACGAGCCGAAGATGGTGATTTTCCCGATCTAAAATGAAACAAATAACAAAGAAGCACTTATTTTCGAATTGATTTATGTTTATTGTTTTGATCTACAACAGATAGTTGTTCAATGTAACTTTCGAAGTATAGAAATGCCGTGGATATGAGACAAAAAATAACACTAATAAATGCAAAATAACTTAGTGAAGTGCAGCAGTTTTCGAATAACGAGAGCTTCTTGAATAGCGGTTTCGAATTCAAATTTGAATTAGTAATATCTTCGTTTACTCATGTGGATAGTGGATTCAAACTGTCCACTCTTTAAAATGAAAGTCAAGTAAGATTATTTGTATACTCTATTTTGCCTGCTGAATCCGACTCTAAAGTTAACATAAGTGAACAAAAATATTCTTTAAATTTGAAAAACTTCTACTTTTCGAACCTTTCAATTTCAGTGTACTTTCTAGTGGTGTGCTAAAGGTTGTATCGAACTCGAGAGTATATTGCAAATAAGACAGAGTATATGTTGATGCTTTAAAGTAGTACATTTTTCGATGGAGTTATGGTTATTCGAATTATTTCAACTGATGTTAGTATTTGAGAAGGTTTTTAAAAAACATTTCTAAGATATAAACATTGCCATGGGAGACAGCGCGATCGATAATCTATATTTCCAGTTGGTTTTGAGATTTCCGATTGATCATCACAATAACTCTGAGATATTCACGGCTTGTCCAGCTATCGATTCGGCAAAGAATTTATTCCATTTCGTATCAAAGCTCATACAAATGAAACATTAGTCGGAAAAGAGCGAACAACAGAAAGAGCTACCCCAGTTCCTGATCGACTAAATGTGGTTACGCAAGTGTTTACAGGAATGATCCATACTTAACATTCCTAAAAACATTTTATAGAAGCTGTTAGTGCTTTTTGTGTGATCATCAGTCGTTTAATTTTGTTCTGGCTGAGTCCACTTTCACTTCTGCTTTTTCTTCTGACCATACTCTTTCTCTTTTTTATCGTTTTATAAATACCCAAAAAAATCCAAAATAATTTGCATTTTTCTGCTTTAAGATATCGTTTTTAATGACGTACTAAGAAAGCTGTTTTCTAAACTTTGCATTAAAGGCTCTATTCACTGTCTGGTAAAGACAACATCGTTGTCGAAACGTCACGAGAAGAAATGACGTTTATCCAGGAAAGCGATCTCCGTTCTCAATCAATTCAACTCATCTTAGTGTGCTCTAACGCTAGCTAGCCAATTTCGAGATTCCCGAAAAAATGCTGATGGTTCCTGAACGGAATAAACTACCGAACCTGATCTTGAGCAGTTCAAGAGGTTGATTTTCTCTATCTTACAGTTATACAGGAATAATCAGATGACGCTTCTCCAAATGAGCAGACAGTTTCCAAAGATCCTACCAAAATCAACACCTCTTTTATGGACTGAACTTTTTCGCCAAAGTAATTTTAGTAGACTTGGAGCCCTAAATTCTCCTGATGTCCACCGAAGCTGAAACTTTCAGAAAATATTCTTCTTTATATGATACGTCTGTGCAGTTAGCCCAAACGCTTCTGTGCAGTGGGAGAGGCTTTCCAAAACCCCTTCGTTTTCGAGGTAAAATCAAGTTCTCACAGTTCAGAAACATCAGGACCAAGAACCAATTGCATATTCAAAATCAGCTTAAAAAACTGCGTCGAATGCCGTATAATTCATCGGGTTTTGGACATATACTTTTGAATCTTATCGAATTCTTAGATTTTGGGATCGGCACGTAGAATTTTTTGCCCGAAAATTTAAAAGTCAAGATTAAAAATCACGACGCTTCTGAAATATTTTTCTATAGGTTTTCAGCGATGCTCTTTCCAATGGAATGGTTTTGAATTCTCATAAAGTTTTTGAAGTGGTTTCGGGAGATCCCGTCTCTGGAAAACCCCTTAAGAAACTTTTTTAGAACTCGAGAACCATTCGGTTGGAAAGAGCGTCGTAGAAAACCTATAGAAAAATGGTTTAGATACGTTTGGACTGCTTTCAAAACTCATGTCCACGTGCTTAGTCAAAATTGCCCACTGTGGCGCACTTGCGAAAAAAGAAAGACTCTGTACACTATATTTTAAAAATAAATACATTCGAAATTATCCTATTATTTTTTCTAGTTGCTGTCGGTCTCAGATTGTACTTTCAAAATTTTTCTTCGTAGAATCGAAATCGGAATTGAGCGCAATGTTTACGAATGATTGTCGCCAAGCTAGTCGGACCGCAGAAGAAAACACTGACATCGTTCGCCGTCGATGAATTCGCGCCCGAGATGAGACTTGTAAATAGTTCGTCCCATTTCGGTCGACCAATCGTTGTTCGAGCTTTTAATCTTGTAAAAATGTCTTGTCCGGCCACTTGGGCCCATACTTTGGTCACGAAATCCAATGGAGCATGACCGATATTTTCATCGTGTTTAATTTCGGTAAAGAAGAGATGAATATCGAGAAAACGATGTTCCTCCAAATTCGATGCCAAATAAGCTTCTTGTTCTTGTTCGAATTGACGAAGTAGATTGAGAAACCATTCGAAATTCTTTTGATCACGATTTACCCAGATGAAATCAACTTTGGTTAAACGCCGATTTTGAGCGAGACCTTTATTATGATAATTAATACCATGGCAATGTTGGCAAACGGTGTACGATGCACGAAATTGTGCCATGAGACTCGAAAGAATCGATGCGTATGGCGTTATACCGATGCCACCCCCGATGAGTACGACATGTTTACAGTCAAATACGTATCGTGCACATGACGAATAGGGTCCATTAATGATAACCAATTCTTTCTTTGTTTTCATTTTCGGTTTTGTCATCGTGCTCTCATTACCATCCTCCTCTGGATCGATTCCCATTTCAATCGCGGCAATGGCTGAAACCTCTTCATCCTTCTCCTCAGCAGCCGCTCGATCCGGATTGAGATCGGCACGATGCACCGTAACATGATTTTCTTCAGCATTGTTCTCCGACATATCTTTGAATCGTTGATAGACCCGTTTTGTCCAATTGCCACATGCGTGAATGTGTACACGTAGATGGACTGTCTCTTCCGGAGCACTGCTAATCGTAAATGGATGAAATTCGTAGAGGGCAACGCGAGGTAAATTGATGCTAATGTAATCTCCTGGCTTGAAACTGAAGGCAAAAAAGATAGAAAAAGATCCTTCGAAAAACAAATCTTACCTAAAATTCTTTGGTCGATGAATAGTCAAACTGATCACGTTCGATTGCTCGATAGTGGCCGAATGAAGATAGGTTCTACCACTGCGCGGTAAATATCGTGTTAAAACGGAGAATAATTTTTCGAGCAGGAACCACGAAAGTGGGCCAACGATCCATTTCTGAAATCCAACAGTATGATTTAGTCGTTAAGTGGAAAGCAAAATGACTTACCCAAAAGTTTTTTGCGTGAATTATTAGAAAAATATAGAACGGAAGATAGAGCAAATGGGTCCAGTAGAAAACCTTTGAAACAATGAACCAATCAATAATTGGAAAAAAATATTTCAATTGAGATCATTACTTGAAAGTGACCGCCTCGGCGAATCCATTGCATTGAACAGACGACAATCGCGGCCAGAATAATGAACAAAATGATACCGCTGAGCGACGCGAAACCACCTACCCATCCGATATCGGCATATGTGGTGAACTAAACACAAACTTGAGCAAACAGAGTATGTCCATCTCACGATCTTACCATGAAAGCAGCCCATGAGTGTTCTAAAAGAACGGAAAATGAAGCTATTTAGTAGAGATAAACATAAGTTAATCAGAGCCAGTTCTGCGTGAAAATGAAAAATTTGAATGACATTCTTTTTTCCATAAAAACAAATCGGCAGTTTTTAATTGAATAAAGTATTGTTCATGAGCACTATCTTGATTCTAAGAGCGTCCAGAATATCTTCATAGAAGCCAATAAAGCACAAGAAAACTTTCAGTTATTTGCAGACTCTCCTAATTCTGGTAAATATGTGCATATTAGAGATGTAAGAACTTAATATTTTTCGGCCAAGTACTTCGTTGAAAAAACGTATCCGGTAAAAAGTTAGCCGTTTTTTAAAAAACTTGTAGAATTAGATGGGTTCCTGGTGTTCATGTGCTGATTTTACGGCCTGGAACAGATAGATATATAAAAAACAGTGGGTATGCACCTAGACCCGTGGGCTTGGTACATACTTAAAGAAAGGATATATTTGTCTATTTGTTCAACTACACAAAAAGGACGAAGGCGGTATAATTTTTTTCATTTAAAGGACGATTTTGAGATACACTTTAGGGTCTATATGATACTAGGTCCTGGGGCTTACTTACAGGGATTATCTCGAGTATTTTACTATCAAAAACTCAAACGATTAAAATCAAGTGTCATATAACAGTCGACAGAGCATCGAACGCTGAAGAAACCTATGGGTGTGTGAAAGTAGGTATTTGATGAACTTTAGACATAAACACTGTTCTAATCCCTATGGCAGATGTTTAGCAGCTGGTCTTGTGTGCCTCCGTTTCCGCCATTTCACTCAGATCCAGAGCCGTGTCTGGTGCACAGCTATTGCTCATCAAGACCTACAAAACTATGAAAAAATATGTTGAAAAAAATACTGTCCACTTCTTTGTTAGCGACACACTATGAGAGCATACTTGGAAACGGGGTACTACATAAATACTTCTGAAATAAATTTTAGTTCAACTCAGAGATGCGAGATTACAATTGCAAAATGTAAAGTTGAAATACTGCTATTATTCATAGAATTCTGAGCTTTACATGTTCAGAATTCTTACATACATGTAAAATTGCACACTAACACTCACCCCTAGAATTCAGAATTTTAGAATTCTGAACTTAACATGTATGCAAGAATTCTGAACATGTAAAGTTCAGAATTCTAGGAATAACAGCAGCGCTTGAACTTTACATTTCGTAATTGTAATCGCGCAGCCCGCGTTCAGTTATATATAATATTGATCAATCATAGTGCGGTAGAAAACCAGTTTAACGCTGTAGAAAATCATACTAAAAGGAGCCTTTTGTACATAATGTCATATCTGTAAAAACTGTCGGTCGATATATAAGAACTGGAACCGGAGTCTGAGTTTTGGGGCATACTGGCGATGATCGACAATTCATGTAGTATTCCGTTTTCGAGTATGCTCTCATCATGTGTCGCTAAACAAAGAAGTGGACAGTATTTTTTACAACATATTTTTTCATAGTTTTGTAGGTCTCGATGAGCAATAGTTGTACACCAGACACAGCTCGGGATCTGAGTGAAATGGAGGCACATAAGACCAGCTGCTAAGCATCTACCATAGGGATTTGAACAGTGTTTATGCCTAAAGCTCACCAAATCTCTACTATCACACAATGCTTCATCTATGAGTTTCTTCAGTTATTGACTGATAAATGGCACGCGTTTTTATTCGTTTTAGTTGATAATAAAACAGTGAAGCAGTTTTTCGTCGCAAAAGTTACTACTACTCTTCCGAAACGTTTAATTTTATGACCTTAAAGTTTTCTTTTGAACCTGGTGCTAAGAAGCAACACTTGATCAGCTGATTCTTTTACATTTGATTTCTATGATAAGAAAAGTAAAAAGTAGTGCCAATGGACGTTAATTAAGGGCCGCCCGCCCCCCTCACTCGGAAACCTATTTTCGTCCAGAAACATTCAGTCCTGATGAAAATTCAGACAATGTGTACCTTGAAGTAACTTAGTCATTCTACTAATTGCAGTTAACTAATTTTTGAGTAAACTAGACTACTGCTCAATTGTTTACGATACTAAATTTCCCCACCATAATTCGCGTATTGATTCTGTAATTAAATTGACCGCCAGAATTATCCTTAAAAGGTTTGATGTTTCTGTGTCTTTGCTGTTGCAAAAGCTTAAGTTACCTGATTTATATAAAAGAAGAAAATACTTCCGTTTACTTCATTTCTACAAAATTTTAAATAATCATTCCATTTTGTCACA